CATAAAGAATTTTAAGCAGTTGATATCAGTTCTTTCATATTGGCAGATCCATAGAATCCTATTGGTCAGATTCTGTTTCTGCTGCCATTGTTTACGTAATCGTAACTAATGCTTGACTCGTTCTTCTTCAACATAAAAATCGAACCCAAAACCGCCAAGTTATCAACATTGTCGATACAACTTGGCATTGTTGGTGCTCTCGTTGTTCCTGTGTTGAGACTTGCCTTGGCTAAAGGCAAATTTCTACTTACACACTTCGCAGTTAGTGGTAACAGTTCGTCTGCCGTCTTTCTCTGTGGCTTACCCAAAGCCTGGAGGAAGGCCTCTGCTTGTAACTTGCCACTGCGTATGCACGTGTGTGTGTGTGTGTGTATGTGTGCGGATCCTATGTGCACTTCATTGTTGTTGCGGCTTGTTTGGTTTTATTGTGTTTATATTTGGCTTAAGGCATCAATTTGCCTTTCCATATACTTTATACTCATATGAGGGTGTATATATCGGCGTTTGTTGCTCAGCTTTCGCACACAGACACACACAAGTTGAATGCCAATGTCGAAGTACAGTAATAGGAGCAACAACAACAGCTGGCGAATTGCTATCAGCAAGCCAAGCTTGGTAGCAATAATACAAATACATATACAAAGTACATACATACATATGTGCAAGTACTTATGTACACAGAAACAAAAAAAGTATCAACATCACAATATCATGAAAACATATCGAATCCGAAAAGTGATTTGAAGCGCAGGCTATTATCGACTAGATGCATCTATTCATTTGATTACATTTTAATTTTAACTGAAACCACTGACGAAAAGCAAATTCATAGAATCATGAAGAAACCGAGTAATTAGAACAATCTCTACAAAGAACCCTGAATCTCAATAAAAGGTGCAGGTGCAAGCCCCTGAACGGGCACAGAAAGTATGGAAATGCGAATTGAGGGTCTGAATTTAGAATACTAAAAATCTAATACAGGAGCTGGCCCGACTCTTAAAAGACATGCACTCACTTAAAAGCAATTGTAAAAACATATTTTGTATTAAATAAAAACGTTTTTTTTTTTTTAAATTAAAAAACAATTTAAAGGTATAATTGTATACACCAGACATACGGTACAAACATATACATTTTCAATTACAAAATCTCGCATCGTATTTTTGTCAACGCTTTTGTCTGCAGTACAGTGTTGAAATAAACTAAGAGCAAGAGTAAAGCTGCTGACAGCAAATGAAAAGAGATTAATTTATGGATATACTATAACTCTTTATAAGTAGTTGAACTATGGTTTGTTCCCTTGTTTTGCGAACGGAGCGCAAGTGTTACTTGTTGTAACAGGTTGTCATTTTAACTAGACATCAAGAAAACAATACAATTATCCAATTTCTTATCTAAATAACGATAAATGATCTGATCAACAGAAAACTGACTAACCGAAAACTAAAAACATTTCGATATATTTGAAAATGTCTTCCAAATATATCCAGGGGAGATGGCACTAAGTTTCTGGGATATGATATTGATCACATGTGCATTCAATTTTTTCTCTCTCTACATATACATATGTGTAGGGACAGACCTTTATTTGTGCATATGTACGTATACATACTATATCTATCTGTGACGATAGCGGCAACGGCGAATCTAGCGCTGGCATTTTGTGCAGGGCACATCAGGAGTACAAGCATTAGCTACAGCAACAATGCATCGATTACATAATCCATTTACACAAATGGCATTTTAAATACATTATTGACATGAAGGTATGTGTGTTGCGCACACAAACAAAATGGCAGCAGACGCACTTAATGCAACTGCGCGCAACATTGCGAATGCGTAATTTGCAGTACACGAACCCAACGTGTTTTGGGCGCTTTACGAGCGCTTTGTAAATATGCCAGTAGATAATTGGAGCAGATGTGTGTTTAAGTGTGTGCAAATGAATCTATGAAACTGGCATTGTTCTATTTAACAGCTTCTTAATTGCTCTGCAAGCTGATAATTTCAAACTGCAAATTACATATGCCATAATTGAACCCTGCCCCAAACACAAAGAAGATTTGGATTGCAGTATTGATATATTCATTCCATTTGATGTTATTTGAAGGGGTTGGCAATTGTTTATCTTAAAATACTGTAGAGTGTAGATACGACACCTAAGAAATTGAGTGACTTGCTTTTCTATGATGGCTGTTATATTAAGAACTTCAAACTTTTCGCTTGCTCAACTAACTAACTAACTAACTAACGTGATGTGCCCGAGATGAGGGATGTTTTAGAAAGCGATCATTTTCATCACAAGTGTAATCTATGATTTGGACGAGTATTTTATATAGGCAGAGTCGTAAAATTTCAAATTGAAGACGCTTCCTACACCATAACCATTTGACCGATATATGTATAAGAATTACCGACTTGATTCTTATATTCTACGTGTATTCCGCTTTCGTGAATTTGAAGGTTCTTCTGCTGAATGACTGGTAATATGACGAATGATGATAATCTTTAACATGGAAGTACTACATAGACACAAGAGATACTGCTTAACAAACATTTATTACACTTTTATCCATTTGCATGGAATATAAAGCAAGACGAGCCTGTACTATGCCACCACCCTTATTTTAATAATTTAAGCAAATATGGGCTTCTTATAACCATTGAAAGCTAATTTTTGATACAAAAAATGGTTGAATTATTCATTGGCAACTACCCCAGTAGGTAGGTTAGTTTTTATGTCCGATTTACAATCTATATTTTCACCACATGGCACAAATCCAGCGCAACGATTTAAGCGTTTCGTGCAAACACTTATCACCATTGAAATGTAATAATAAATTCACGCTACAAAGTCATTTACCCAGGCGCTAACCAAAGCAATCCTCAATAAGCCGACGAGCAAACAGCTCAAGTGAATTTTCATCACGCTAGATGGCGCCATTCCTACTTGTAAATTTATGATGCAATTGACTATAAGTTGCTCGATTAATTACATGCTCGTACGTGTATAACAAGTGGAGAAGCTAAAGTTGGGTGTCCCGACTTTGAAATACTCTGTACATACTCTGTGTAGAATAATTATAGAAATTAAAAAAATTATGAAAATTTAAAAAAGTGTTTGAATGGTTTTACCTCCCTTGGTATTCGAACACACTTTTACAATTTGCAAAGGAATTGTGTCTATGGAGTGTATGCATGTCTATGCGTGTCTGTGTTAACATGTATGCAGTACAATCTTGAACTAAAGCAGCGGCAACAACAACAAAAGCTGCGGGCAGAGATTATATTTAAAACTATATCTTCCTATCATAATGAAACTTGACATACGGACTAAGAATCACTTACTGGAGATATTTGCCAAATTTTAATTAGAAATTTAAAGAATTACGGGAGTTATGGAAAATTGTGGGGGTGAGTGGGGAGGGAGGGAACTTCCAAAATACACATTTTCTGCATATTCACAAAAGGCCTAAATTTTGGTGTCCTTAGGTCTCATTTTCTTCGAGGGTGATAGGTGATTATTCGAAAGTGTTACGGAAAAACCCAATTATCGGGGGACTGCACAGCGTACACACATAATATATCTTTGTGCAAAATTTGGTGTCTCTAGCTCTTAGAGCCAGGTGTTCATACGGACAGATGGACAGACAGGGCTAGATCGACTCGTCTTCTCATCCTGATCAAGAATATATATACTTTGTGGTGTCTGCCACGCCTCCTTCTGCCTGTTATAATTTTCAGCTCGCGCAAACCTAATATACTCTCGTGCATTTCATGTACAGAGTATAAAAAGCACACTCATTAATAGGCATTAACTCATAAGGTGCTTCTTCTCTTTGGGCGATTTTCAACGACTTAACAGAAATTATAATATGTTCAAAATATGCACGATATGTGCTTGAAAAGCAAGCTTTAAGAAAATGAAATGCATGCGGAAACAAGCAACTAACAAGCAATAGACGAAAAAACTAGAGGAAGGAAAAAGCAATAGAGAAACAGAAACCACAAAAGCCACAACAGACACCGGCGCTCATGGTGGCAACCACAACGTCGCCTTTTGTTAAAAACTAATGGAACTAATTGTTCATCAAAAGGCGGCCAGATGAACTTACTAGCATGCAAACCAACCAAGCAACCAGCTAGTCTGTTGGTGCATTGTTTCTCTGAAAGTGAAATGCCAATGCCAATGCCAAGCCGCAGGCCCAGGCGCAGGCGCAGGCACGACGTCTGCAATTGGAGCAAGCGCAGCGAGCCAAGAGTATAAAAGCAAGTGCTTGGGGCGCATGCGCCGACAATGCAGTAATAGCACTCGCAGAGATCACAGTTAATGGCAAAAAACAAAGCGGTGGGAACAGACGGAACACATCAATCAAGTAGCCTGTAGTCAAAATCATGAGGAAGCAATGCGTAAGTAATAACATGTCTCATTTGTCTTAACTAAGGAAGTGCAGCTATTTATGGACTTCAGATCACATGGATTTGGCTTTGGATTTGGCTGATAGTGACAATGTTGCTCTTACCGAGCATGGCGGACGAGCATCAGGATGAAAATCACAGGTAAAGTAGCTTTGAACCGAGAAATTGTGCAGCTTAGATCACATACTGTTCGAATCGATGATTTAAGCGACATTTTAATACGATACTCATAAATCAGTATTTCAAACATAACAAATAATTTAGAAACTATATGAAACAGTGCAAAACACAAAAAAAAAAAAATGTCTTTTACATTGTTCGAAATTTTGCAAATACGATTGCACTTTTAATTAATGTTGATCTTTTGTTATCTGTTAAAATTCCGTAAAGTGCCCCTGGATTGGGCCCTTTTCTTTATACGATGAGAATTAAAGAATGTGCATTTGAATAGTATTTGCAGTATTTAAAAATTTGTTAAAATGCATGCTAACAATTCATAAATTTCTTCGGAATAGGGAAGAGTGGATTTGAAACTGAAATAGAACTGCATTCTACAACTTTTCAGAATTCAACGACGCTTTATGTGGCATCAAATGGACAACTCTGTGATGGGTGGACTAATGGGGCGTATGTTTCATGGAGCGCGTGCGATGAAGTCCATGTTCAGTGATTTGTTGCCAGGTGGCACTGCTGGCTCAAGCAGTATGCACAATTCCAACAGCATGCTGGACTTTTTGCCCACGGAGACTACCCGAGTCAAGTACATTATACGCAACCCGCATACTAACAAACCAATGAAGATAATCAAGATGAGGGGCTCTACCAAAAAGATAGTTAAGTTGGTCAACCCAATCGCCAAGCCATTGCCTAACAAGATGAGCTTCGATACACGCATGCGACAAGTGGAAAAGGAACAGGAGTTGATAGCCGAGGGCAAGCTGCCCGCGAGCAGCGATGAGGCAATAATGGAGAAATACTTTCAGCACAAATTGAGAGGCAACAATGAGGTCGTCTCCGGCAAGATCATGGAGTATCAAAGCTGGAAGCCAGTGTACAGACCTGGTGAGCAGCCCAGCGCTTTTATCACGCAGCGTCCACAACCGCTGACGCAGCTCCACACCGATATTGTGGCAAGTGGACACGAACTCTTGCCCAAGCCAGAGAAGCTGGTGGCCTCACAAGGCGGAGATGACGAAATAGATGCCGACGACGTGCATCTGCAGAATGCGTTGGGTCGCCACACTTATGAGGTGACCGAGCACACTGGCGAGGAAAGCGGTGAGGTACATGTGCACATACCAATAACAGCGTTCGGCCCAATGGAAAGCGGTTTTGTGCCCTCCAAGCATCAGTATCGGGCACGCAATGGCTCAACAACCACCAGCACCACCACCGAGGCCCCAAACTATCCCGCAGCTTATCTTAAAAAGTATCGCGAGCGAGAGCGCGAGCATTCCCAAGCAACAAAGCATGGCAAGCGCCATAAGCAACACCAACAACATCAGCACAAAGAGGTGATTATAATCCATACGGACTCAGAACCCTGGCTGCCAACGCCGACGCCGTCTTCCGCCTCCAATTCCAATCACTCCATGAGTAGTTTACGTGCGCGCTTGCAGGAGCAGCAGCGCAAGGATGCGCATCAGCAGAAGGACAAACATCAAAGTGATGAGGAAATGGAGGCGACGCTGGTCGATGCCATGCAGGGAGATAAGTGGCCGGCGGAGGTGAAGCACACCTATCTGAGCATAGGGCCCAGCGCCGTTGCCTACATGCAGCCAGATGAAACGGAGCAGCAGCCCCTGCATTACAGGTTGCCTAAGTCGGAGTATAAGCGACAGCACTCCAATCTCCGACAGCGCGGCTCCATCAAGTTTGGTGATAAGCCCGTCTACGATGAGATGTGATCGAGTGGGCGGACCAAAGAGCTCACTGCTAGCCTTTGAATTCAATAGCTTAGTCGGAATATAGTTTTAAGGCATTTCCTAAGTGCAAATAAAAAGAAAAAATCACATTCACACACACACACTTCCATGCGGCAAGTCAATGCACCAGAAGCACGCGATTCCCATCAAGCGCGACCAGCTCCATAATTTGTATTGCAATTAATGCAGCGCGATGCGCTTTAAGCCGCACTTTTCACTCACTCCACAGTTCGCTCACTCGCGCGTTCACTTCCCACTCTCGCTGCTTTATGGTTTGCCGCTCATTGCATTTGACAACTAATTTAAAACTTTGCATCGCCTTGAAGCTGACCCAACGACGACGAACTGCGCTGACGTCGGCGTCGGTCGCCTGGCAAAGTAGGTTAAACCTGCTATAAATTCCAGCAGCAGAACAAAAGACATAAGACAGCGGCTAAAGTGGAAAGCCCAACACAATGCTCTATGCCGTTCTCCTTCTACAACCCTAACAACAACAAAGAAACCAACACACACAAACAAGAGAGAGAATGTTACATCATGTCCGACAGTGAAATACTCTGTACCCAAAACAAAGTTCCTCCAATCTGCGCAAAGCAGAAAAAACCGAAGAAGAAACAAAGTGAGCCCGCTGCTGCAATTTGGGGTCGCAATTCTGGAGTAAAATAGATTTTAACGAAATTAAAGGTTAAGAATTAAATAGAAATTACGCATGCAAAATTGATTTTCGAATTGTGAACTGTACTGACAAAATTCTGTAGCTGGGAAGGGGAAAAAAATTAAATAAACTCCTTTTGTCTTGGAGAGTCTACGTGCCAAATATGGTTAATGTGGACTCAGCCGTTTCAGATTTGCAGCCGACATCCAGATGGAAGGACGAATGAACTTCATGCTGATTAATAATATATTTGTACTATATACATTATAGGGTCGGAGATACTTCCTTCTACCTGGTACATACTTTTAACAGAGCTTATATACCCTTTTTACTTTCTGAACATAGGGTATAAAAAAAACACACACATATACAAATAAGCAGAAGGCGCTTACTTTGTGTGGTTTTTAATCAAGTAAAGCAACGCGACAACAACTGAATTAAAAGAGGGGTTGAGCATTTGGGGAAAGACACAAGCGTACGGTAGGGCGGGGCAGCAAGGAACTGAGAGAAAAATTCGCGATAAACTTTAAATGCAACATAGCGTAGCTTAAGTGGCCACACGCAGATTGGAATGCAAAGCGTTGGCTATATAGGGGTTTATTGCGATGAAATGCGGTTTATAGTACATCTGCCGGAATTTATCTTTCTTTCGTGCGCGTCGTAGATCTGATTGTTGAAAAATTCCCAAGAAAGCAATTAAAAGAAAATATACAAGTAAAATGTACATTCTTTGCCTTTTCTGTTTCAACAAACATTGTATTGCTATTTAAATCAAGGAATAGAATTGACCAAATTTATCAAAATACCATATGTATCTACATATTAGTAGTATACTCGTTTTGTCCACAGACCATGTATGGTTTTGTGGTATTATTGTATGTTTTATGAGATTATATCGATATCAAATCCAATCGGAGTTAGAAGTATACATATACTTAGAGATACTATATGCATTCAATAACGACAATAAAAAAAACCGAAGTAAAAAACCATTTCAAATAATCACTAAAAAGAAAAAAAGTAATATTTTCTAACCACTCCAAAAACTTGACCTTCAACTTAGAGGCCTGTGCTATCAAAGATTCTATCGGAAGTGGTTAAAAAGTGGTGTAAATTATTAAAACCGTGGGGAAGAACGCTCCGAGGCACAGCAGCTGTGGTTAGGAATTTTCCGGCAGGTTAAGCCATAAAAATGTCATCCGAATGTACTTGTACATAAGTATATCTTTAAATTTTTGGCAAGAAACTTCATTTCATTCGAGTAAATCGTTAAAGATGCATTTTATGGCAAAGTAATTTTCATCATACTTGTAAATGATGAGCCCAGTAAAAATCTAAAGAGAACAACAACACTATTAACGCTCTTTCAGAACCAGCATATACCAGCCATAGACCTAAACTCAAGCAAAGTGCCTTTACTTGATACACACAGACAGACAGACAGACAGCCCTGCACACACCTGCATACATGTCACCATTTTTTCAAGGACAATATTGGTTACGTGATAACACGGCCAGAGGGGAGCTGTCCGAGCAGCCTGGTAGGAAGCATGTCCCAGTGTCGAGTGCACAAAATACAAATTAGAATTTAAATGAACAATGCAACCGGAGCGGAAGTGGGTGTGTACTGAGAGTGTGTGTATGTACTGTACATACATACATACGGACTATACGTGTGCATGGTTGTGGGTGCAGGCTAGCACTATGGGTGACAATGCAACGCCAGCGCACGTAGAACGCGTGAGACGACAGCAATAACAACGATTGCGAATACAACAGCAACAACTTAGTAATAATGCCATGCAGTTTTGCGCGCGTTTTTCCCCATCTTTCCTTTATTTTCGGTTGTTTCGGAAAGTTGGGAGATTTTTTTTTGTATAGCAAACTAGGACACTAACTCGCTGCAAAATGTCAAAGGGGATAATGGAATTTGGTATGGAAAATGTGTGTGTTGAAGTGCGTAACAGGAAACAAAAAAAGGAGGAAATAAAATTCCGCGCGCTTTTCCTACGAAGCGCACGCGCATCGATGAAACACCACACGAATCGATTACGTAAAACATGTTTTGCATGCTAAAAGAAGAAGCCGTACTTCCAATCTCCCTCTTTCTACCATCCATTTAGCCCTTCTTTTCAAACCATTCTCCCAACAGGACAGCTTTGCATCACGTTGTCAGCTTAAACAATTTGTCAATTTGCGTGAGTCATTTCGCAAGCCATTGTTACTCAATTAATATTTAAATCTAAAAATTCGGTCTTTCGGGGCGTTTAATAACAACTACTTGTATAAGCGGCCTGAGTGACAGCTTGAAAACATGTGCTCCGTTAAATTTTATTAATTACAAGAACAAGCAATTTATACTCGTACGCTGTGCCTGCTTTTCGACGCTGGCCAAGTGCATTGAACTGTCGGCTCGAATGGCAGGCAGCAATCAGCAAGACGCTAGTTTGCATAGAAAACGCTTTGTTTGCTTAATAAACCACGGGCATTACCACGAGGGGGGCGCTGCCTGGGCGCAGCTGGGGAAAAAGCAATTGCAGGAGAGCCAGCGATAATGATGACGATGCGAGGATGTGGGCGAAGCAGCCCGACAACGTTTAGCGTTTAGAAGTGCGAAATGTTCGTGTGTTGCACACACGCTAAAAAATTAAATATTCAAATACACAGCAGCGCCACCAACTGTACTCGCTCTAGAGGGACATGCATTGGAGCACATACAAAAATACACACCTACATATAGCGCAGACGGTTTTGACAGGCGACAAAGGAGAACATATCATAAGGAATAGTTCCTACAGTGAAAATAATTTCATGAAAATTAGTACAAGAGACACTTTAAAGGGCAAGCATTGGACTCATTATTCCACTGTATATATGGTCCATCAAGACTGTGATTATCGTTTATCCTAAACAATCATTTTCGGTTTACATGCTCAAATTACATTTTTTTTAAAACCATATAAAATGCTACAGTTGAGCAGGCCCGACAGAGAGATACCCTGTAAAATGGTTTCTCTAATAAGTTTTCTTGTTGTCTTGTTTCTTGTCGGAGATGCTTTCTTCTGCCAGTATCTAATGTTGCAACATAATAACCATAAAAAAAAGTAAAATATTTCATCTCATAAGAATTGTGTGAAAACAGTTCTTGATTTCTGCTTTTTAACCCATCAAAAATTATTTAAAAGAGTTTTTCATTTACGACATTGTTGTCTAAAAAGTCCTATGATCTCAAGCTTTGATTTTCAGTTGTATAATTAAAGCTAGCCTATTGCAATTTATTCCCACTTCTTAAACTTGTGTGGCGCGAGGGTAACTCTGTTCCATCGTTTACTCTACTCCGGAGCGTTGAATATGTGGGAACTTAACGCTATGCAACTCAAATTTGTATTCGCCATAACCATATGACATTTTGTGTGTTGTCGGTTGGCTGCACTGACTCGTTGTAAACTAGTGCAGCTAAAAGCCCAGCGGGCGCTGCGCTCTATTCCCAGATCTGACACACGTAAAGGCCCACTGCCATTGCTGGTCGTGTTGGGAGATGGGACATGGTGCGTGGGTGGGGGTGGGGAAAGAGAAGTGCTTAGAGGCAGCAGAAGGGGCTGCATAAGTTGTTGTCTGTCTGTATGTGGCAGCTGTTGAAGTGTAATCAGCGGTACGGCGGTAATTACAGCAGCATATGTATGTATGTGAGTCTATGTCGATAGGTCTGTTTGTGAGCGGATGTGTGTGTTTTCTGTATAGTGCCTGGGCAGGCATAAAAGCTGGAAAAATGCAAAACTGCGGTACTGAGCGGTTTCACAAATGCTACACGCACACACACACATACACACATTCACACGCTCAAACATACAGACACATACCCATTTGAATAACAACAAATGAAAGCATGCGTGTGCCGCTCCGCTACATCTCCTTTATCTTTTTGCCTCACCCGCACCTTTCTGCATCACCTTTGATGTCTGCTCAAGTGGCGCATTGCGGGCGTGTTTTTTGCACATCACTATAATAAATATTTTGTGAAATAGTAAGATACATAGTAAACATTGAATTTGTTTTAAGGGGCGCGCCTAAAAGCACGCAATGCATTTGTACAAGACATTCAATTTTTATGAGAATAACACTTTGCGGCAACACTACCCAGCCCAGCTCAGCCCTGCTCAGCTCAAATGTTGCTATTAAATGACTAACTAGTGGCAGCCCCAAAGTACTTGAGCTGTCCTCGTCTGGCAATGGCTCTGTCAATAGCAGAAGAACAAGAAGAAGAAGAGGGCCAAGCAATTTTTATTGATACGCTCGATAGTGCACGGCCAGCGCCAAATCGAATATT